TCCGCTGTCGTGGATACTCATGCGACTGAATAGGCACATGTAGGGAATGAATGTGCGTGTACAGAAAAGACGAATGCGGCGAGCGTACGTGGGGGCTCCTGGCACGGATCCGCAAACGGCCGATCAGGCCGATGCGCGAGGTAGATGAACGATCGCAATGAAGACAGGTTGGGTCAGAGCCCACATCACTGGTGATTGGGGTGTTGATGGTGAGGGTAGTTGGCGGGCCGTCGGGAGCGTTTTGACCGGTTGAGGGAGTGGGAGAGGTGGTGTTCGTCGTCGACGTGGAGGTTGTGGCAGAGATGATGGAGACGCTTAACAGTTGCGTGGCACGGGGTTGTTAAGCATCGGTTGCAATGGTGGGCGTCGTGGGGGTTGGAGCAGAGGCAGTCGGGGAGGTAGCGGTTGGGGTCGTTGGGCTGATAATGCATTGGGTTCGAAGATGTTCGATAAGGCCGATCCGAGCGTGCAGTGTTCGTTGACAACACAGGCAGTTTAGGAGGGGTTGGATGCTGGCGTTGCGGGTTAGGGGCACCTTTGACTTGCGGGCTTCTTTTTTGGCCTTGGTATCGACGATCTGATTGGCTTCATAGACTGATACTCTAATCTTCTCCAGGCCGGCCGGTTCTCTGCAAGGTCTTACCAAGTCTTCGGATTGACTTGTAATCGCTTCAAGGGATTCTTAAAGATGTCCTTGTAGCGGCGGGTTTGATCACCTTGTCGACGAGCACCCATGGCGACATCCCCATATAAGAGTTGTTCTGATAGGCATTAGTCGTCAATCCTCACAAGGCGGTCGCTCCATGATAGGTGTAGTTGCCTCAGCATGACGTGAATGCTGAGGACTCCAGTTCGTTCCAAAAGTTCCATGTCTGGGATCCCGTCCTGCTACGTCAACTTTAGTATCCGAGGTAGACAACTGAAGTGGAGGGGGAGTTGAGTTTCCGTGCTTGTTTCTTGTAGGCTGTCCAAGTCTCCGCTCCATACAGCAGGTTCGCCAAGATGACAGCTTTGGTGTTAAGATGGAGACAGTGGTGATTCCATATGGAGTTCCACAGCCGATCAATGGCCTGGCTGACTTTGGAGATCCGGTGGGTAACTTCGTGGTCGATTTTGATGCAGCGTGAGAGTGCGCTACCGAAGTAAGCGAATTTGTCCACGGTCTTCATTTTGGTGCCGTTGATGTGGATGCGAGGAACATTCTTTGCAGCGTTGGGTGGCGGTTGATGCATGACCACCGCTTTGTCCGTGTTGATGGGTAGCCCGAAGTTGGCGCAGCAGGAGACCAAGAGTTCCATGTTCTGTCGCATGCCAGTTTCTGTCGCGGTGTCGAGTGCACAATCATCCGCGAAGAGCAGACCGTGAACAGTAGTCGTGGGAAGACGCGTTGAGGCCCGCATGTGCCGGCCGATGAGTAGATGGCTGCCAGTCCTGCAGGCAATGAGGATCCTGGGACGCTCGTCACGGTAGGCGCCCATTAGCATGGCAGAAGACAAGAGACTGATAAGGGTGGGGGCGAGTACGCAGCCCCGCATCGGTGCGTTGGTTATTACAAGTGCTTCTGAGACAGTCCCGTTTTCCGTGATGCGCGTCATTCCGTCGTGGAGCTGACGCACCATGTACGTGGGTCGTTCGGGACAGTTAGATTTCAGTGTTTTTCTGGGGTCCATCGCGATTCACCGTCTAGAGGACGGTTCTCATTTCCTGACATGCCTTTTGCGGTTGGCGGGCGGTGGTTCTGCGGTGGCGTCGGAAGCCACATTGGCCTCCTGGCAGAAGTCCCTGTTCAGGGTGGCGGTTGAGGAGGATGCAACGAAGATCGACGTCACAAGGATTGGATGTCTGGTAAAACGACCGGACCGGTAGCACAAGGCCTGCTCGTCGTCATGACGACCCGGCCCTCACGGACGCTTCTTGTGATCACGCGTTCTACGTGATACGACAGTCCACACTTGGATACGTCGAAGAATTAACTTCTACGTTTCATTCTGTCAATCGGGATTTCATGTGGTCGATGATGCTGCGTAATGGCATGCCACTGGAATAAATGCGCTTGAATAGGGTCACTGTTACAGCATAAAGGCCAAGATCCGCATTAAGGTCGATAGAAGAGATTTTTTAATGTTACCTTTCGCACCTTTCAGGGCTACGCCTTATCAGTTTTCTCAAACTGCCCGATACTGCCCTTTAACACGCACTGTTAGACCACTCCCGTGTTACAATAGATTGTGGTCCGAATATCATGAATTTGATTCACGCTGATGACGCTGGGGTGCAGGCAAGTTTCTTTGCAGAATTGCGATGCTCTACGTTCCAGATAGGTTAGACGGCAATCGAATTTGGCATGTAAATTGACCCCTTGGCGGCATAGACAATCGCCTCTGCTTCCGTGGTCTGTGGTACCCACCCGTTCACGATGGTGAACTATTGAGCTAGTGCGCAGCTTCTACTACTTTGTGTCGAATTTTGTACGAAATAAACAGGGCAAAAGGAAATTGAGCATCGGATTAACTGGGCATGCGTGACCCTTGAAACCACCGGAATCGATGTGAAATCATTCGGGAAACCAGGCTGTGTTTATACTTGGCTTCCTCATATACGTGAGACATGTTTCATGCGTCCAGAAGAAGTCCGTCGCTCGGATATTTTCGTCCGATGGGGCTTAGGTTCCACTCTCAGATTTCTTTGACTAGACCCTGTCTCTAGCGAGCGGCCACACAGTCGCCCATGTACAGAACAATCAACTGAGTAGACTAGGATATAATCTATCTGGCTGGCCGCAAAACCATTGTTTGAATATCGCCTCGGCAGATGTTTGCGGTGTTGTTAGAAGCACATGTTAGTGACAAGTTGCCGATTCTGGTCAGCAAAGTTAGGCAGTTTCTCATCATGCATGCATGTATGAAGAACCAAACCCAAAACGGCAAATACAGACTGTCTGAAGAGTAGGCTGGCCCAGGCCGACCTTAAACTAGTCCTTGTAGCCGAAGTAGGCTTTCTTGACGCGCTGGTTGGCAGATGAGGTTAGTGCATGCACGGAGACAACAGATGTTCGTAAAGTGACCCCTCAGTCGCACGTAAACCAGCAGGTCATTGGTCGGTTTTCATGCAAGTCGCACGTGGTTATCTTGTTGCGAGGACGACTGCCACATCGTGTCTGTCACAGGAGTCGTGTGAGCCGTTGTAGTATAGAGCAAACTGTGAGTTGGCCCCTGGAGTGTATTTCTCGAGCGCCTGAGTCGGAGATCCTGACAGGTAACGGACATTTACGTTGTACTGACAAGAACTGCGCACCGTCACTTTTGTGCGTACCAGGACTCAGATGCGTTCGCACATTCCAACATCCAGTACCAAGAGCAGTCCACTCCGTATACCACTCGCCCGCGCAACTAGACCCGGGTTGTGTCTGTTCCCGCGGACGCCGCAGCATAGACCGTAATACTTGAATCTGTCATCTAATAAGGTTTCTTGGGAATTTTGTACACAAGTTGGTCTCTAACAACTGCGCGAATTGTTTGTCCAAGATTATTTCATCTATCACTTCGGCCAAAGAACCTAACCACAGGGCAACGATGGCAAAAGGACCCGTATAGTGAGTTTCCAAAATCGCCATCTCACAGTGCCGTCGCTGCTGGTCTGTGGCTGTTTATTTGCTAGACCCGAGGGCCTGCTTATCTCGCAGCCACCCTTGGCTGAAGGCTGTTCTATTATCCGCCAGCTGCGGACGCGCCGGGAAGCCAGCAGTTATGCCGAGTGGTGAACGGTAGGAAGGCATCCGTACCCCTGCGAAGTACGTAGAAGCTAGGCCTCCATCAAATGGTCAATCACTGCCCAGTTGTAGAGCACATCGGGGAGGCTTTTCTCAGCGCCTGCTTGGCGTGTATCTCTGTCCATGTAGGCTGATTAAAATTATTGTCGACGGGAATATACCTCCACCGGCCATTGTTTATTCGCAGCCCCCAGGTAGTAACCACGGGAAGGCCATGAATAAGAAGCGTAACTATCAATTCTGCGAAACTCTGACGTCTGTCATAGTGGCCGAGGTAAGTATTTAAACTCCCGATTATTTCCTAATGCCATTCAAAATCCTGTAGTCTTTATCTAATCACTTCACCCGTCCTTTCAGCGCACGCCGATCGGAGGTCCTGCCAGAGAGAAACCGCTTTAGGATACGCACTTGGGAGTAATCACGTTTCTTACTTGATGTGAAGATGGAGACAACTTACCCCTTCAAGAAGACCGCGGAGAAATCCCTGGGCA